ATGGCGGGGCCATATCTTGGAGCAGTAAAAAACAATCATGCATAGCCTTATCTACAATGGAGGCTGAGTTTGTAGCATTTTCAGCTGCAGTGCAAGAAGCCGTTTGGTTGAGACGGTTCATGAATCATCTGGGAATAATTAATGTTGCTATTGAACCAGTAAGAATAAACTGTGATAGTCAAGCAGCAATAGCATACACTAAGGATCCCAAATATCATGGTAAAACGAAACACATAGATATCAAATATAATTTTGTGCGAGACTTGGTGGCACAAAAGGAGGTGAACATGAAGTACATATCTACGCATGACATGGTTGCGGATCCATTCACAAAGCCTATACCAAGAGATACTTTCAATAGACATGTTAGATCTCTAGGCTTACGTAGGTGTTGAATGTACTTATACTTTGAGATTTCCTAAAATTGTTCACATTTGTCTTATCAATATTAAATAACTATATTGTCAATGCTCAATTAAGATTATTATGGAACATACATGAAGAAGAATATATGTATATACATATTAGTTATGTACATATTATATATATATATATGTGTGTATTTTGAAAAGCATGTCGGATAGCTAAAAGATTGGCCTTCTCACACAGGCAATCGCCTCCATTACTTCGTAGGAATGGAGATGAGACTATTTTAAGCTTATTATCTAGGTGATAATAGAGAGCCAAGCTTAAAATGTTTAACGTCACCTAGAAAAAGAATTAAAATAATGTCATAATGAAATGTGACCACAAGTGATAAATGATCACTTTATCTGTCTAATTGCCAGATTAGAGTTCTGATGAATTATAATTATGTAAAGTGAACTCAAGTTAGACATTAGGTATGTCTAAACTAAAATCTGTACAGTATTTACAAGAAAAGAGACATGCGCTCCATGGGAAAGGAGGAAATGCTGTAGCATGTGATTCACACCGCATGTGCAAAACATTGACCAAAGGGGTAATGAAAGTCAAAATCTCAACTTTAACATTGTGTGAGACCCTGAGTTTTTTTTATGAATAAAATCTCATAGAATACCCTTATTACTCTATTCTGTTTCTTGAAAACTTCATTTAATGATTGCTATCTTAGAGTGTTACCAAAGGATTAAGATAAATTCAATCTGCTGGGACATTTCTAGAAAAGCAAGTTAAATAAAAGTTGCAAGAATCGAGAAAATAGGAAGATTATGATTTTGAATTATCACATTATAATCACGTGTATTCATTGGTCGACCAATTATGTTTTACTTTTATGTAAAGATAGAACATAATTATGAATACAACGGATATTTTTTTTGTAAATGAGATTGTTAGAAAAATGTGATAAGTAATCTAGGGTATTGCATACAACATACAACCTGAGTTTCACAATTCGAGAAGTTATATATTCCTAACAGATATATGACTAACGTGCTCTCGAAGTATGCATGGTCACACGGCATATTTACTATGGTATGAACCTTAAAGAAGCATAGAGAGAGATAGTCCCATCATGTGTGAGTGGGAGATATTGGATAAGTTCCCGTTTGCTTTTATTTAAATCTTGTTTAAATAAAGTCCACTCATGATGGAGGGACATGAGAAGTGGAAACTGCCAAAGGCAGTTTCTCACAACCGCTGCCATATAAAAGGAAAACTTTTTCCTTTTAGAAATGGTTACTAACACTGTCACTCTCAAAAAAAGGCAAAAAGAAAATACGCTCTCTCTCTAATTTGGAAAACGGAAATACAATTCGTGGTTTTTCTTCCAGATTACTTTTGTTGCTTCAGAGATAAGGAAAGGAGGTATTTATGCTATGTTAATTCACTGTAGTTCATTTATGTACAAATGTGATTGCAATGGTGACTATGATCTTGGGATAATGTTAGGATATATGTTATTCTATTTTATTTCTAACATAAATAAATTAATTCGACAATGTCGGCATGCTGACCATAAATCATACAAGTATTATTCAAAAACAGAAAAGAAGTATATATAAACATGAATACAAGTGCAAAGGAACTGACCCAGTCCATTACAAATTGTTTTCCTTTGTTTCACAAAAAATCTGTTGCTTTGATGCTACCTAACAGCTCAAACAACAAAGGCGTAGCCAGGATTTTGAGTGAGCGGGTTCAAAATATCTAAGTTGATAAATTTAAAATAAAATATATACTGAAGTCCAAATCTTATAACTTAGGCTTTTCAAAATCTAGAAATTTAATCTTGCAATTTCAAACCTATTTATTAAACTCAACAAAAATCTATTCATGGTTTTTCATCAATTAAAAAAGCCGAAAAAAAAAATAAATAAAAGGAAAAAAGGAAAAAAAAAGAAGCATCATCTTACTTTGTAACCTCCAAAGAAATATCTTTTCTTGAGTAATTTAACCAAAGGAAGAAGAAAATATGAGAGAGGAGAGGAAATGAAAAAAGAAAGAAAAGGTCAAAAAATGTTAATTAATTCAAATTTTTGTGGGGTCAAAATTGTAAATTCTATAATATATAAAGATTCTTCTATTTTTTTTTTTTTTTTTTTTTAAGTTGAGTGAGTTCAATTGAACCTATAATGGTGTATATGGCTATGTGCCTGTCCAACAATATGATTCCAAATACATATACCTCAGCTTTCTCTGTTATAAGTCCAATATAGGTATATTCTGGAACTAAATATGTAAATAAAAAGGTCATATATATTCAATAGTAAATCATCAAGTAAATAATTTCTGAAAATTCTCAACCAAAAATGTTTTGCTTAAGGTCTATTTTTTCACTTATGTTCAAAAACTAAAGAATTGTACCATATCTCAAATTAAATAGGCCCTAGAGCTATATATTCAGGCTATTTCTTGGAAAAATTTAATTAATCAAAACCCAACAGACAATATAGATTGGAAATGATATCACAAGCCTCTTCAGCTTGTCTGCTTCTCTGAAAAATGCATTTGATCTCTTTGTGCTACAATTCTGTGCTCTGTGTTTTCCCTGAATTTTCCATTACAATTTTTTGATATAAATATGAACAAACTATGTTGTGATTATGGTAAGGATCCTAATAAAATGATTCTGCTTCAAACCACTGAAGAAAGGAAAAAAAAAAAAAATTATAGTACAAATATTTACAACACTCAAACTCTTTATACATACACAAATGAATTGAGTTCTTATATAAACATCCCTAGTTCTTGCATAGCTAAGAAATGAAGAAATTCAACACAACTCCTCTTTTGCACTTTGCTCCTTATAATTTCTCGATATCAGCAGCCTTCTTCTATAAAGCATAAACAAACTCCAGTTATCAATAATAATTGAAAATTAACTTTTTAAGGTTATTAATTTACTAGAAAGTAAACTAGTTACCAACATTATATTAATGTTTAATTGAAAATTAACTTTTTTATGGTTAGTTTCATTTACCAATATTATATTAATGATTAGATCCATACCAGTATCTATTGCAAAATTGAGTCTCAGGTGATGTACTTTCTCTTTCCTGCATGCAATTGCAGTTTGATTTCTTTATATTGATGCTATTTAAAACATTTCTCTTCACATGGATTTAAGGTTATTTTAAGCATTCGCGCATAAAAAAATATAAACAAATGAAAATTCAATCAAAGAAAAAATTTGCTGAGTTTCCCAGCTGTTAATCAAAATTGCTATCAAATACAACTGATTGTTCAAAATATTTATTTTTCACTTTGATCAATTAAAATGGGTTCAAAATTTCAGAAAAACAATGCTAATATATACTGAAAATTCTTATGCATGAATAGTTTTTGATTCCAACACCTTTAGTTTTGATAACATAAAATATTTACTAAAACGACTCAACAACTCATCCTCAGTAATCTCTGTTTATAGTCCCTATAAATTATGCCTTAATATTTAAACCATCAAATAAAAGAAAAGAATAATAACAAGACATTAATCTTAATTTAAACCATCATTAGTTAGCTACCACTTCTGTTGCTGCTGCTGCTTCTTCATCATCATCATCATCAACGCTGTCTCTTTTAATTTATGCTCAGAATTATTAAAAAAAAAAAAAGAGAGAGAGAAAGAGAGAGAAAAGAAGCTTACCAATTGCCAAGAAAAGAAGCTTCCGAGGCCTAATTGTGGAGAAGATCTCATCAATGTAGTTGAAAACTGCCTCAAATACCTCCTCATATGTCGTCGGAGCTGGCTGTAAGAGATAGTGTAAAAAAAAAAAAAAAAAAAAGGATAAGAAAATCATGTGAAATAGGATAAGCAAAATGTACAATTTCAACATAGCCAATCGATTTTTTTTCTTTAAATTCAACAGCAAAATTAATCATCTCTATATAGTTTCCCTAGTACTAAAATTAGGCAAAGAATTAACAACACAATGTTCACATCACTACACCAACAAAAAATAACAAATTTCCATTAAATTAAAATGAAAAATATGACCATGAAAATCCATGTAGCAAACAAGACCGCCTCGTTTAGAAGCTCCAAGCTTTAAGACAATATATGGAAGCTCTAAGACAATTTTCGTAAGGTTCGATCGGATGGGAGTGATTGATGCTTACCATCAATAATTAAATTAATATTATTTCCTTTCAAATGTTATTTCCTTTCAATAAATTTGTGCTAGAATTATGTGATTGTAATTTTCCTTTTTTGTAAGAATGGGTTATTGCCTATTCCATCAAAAGCTGTTCGGCTATTTAATAGCTTGAGGCCAAAAATGAATATTATCTGATCAATATTATCTTCGACCTTGTGTCGATTTGGAGTTGTGGTTTTTCTCGAATTAAACCAAGTAAGGAGGTCTAGGATCCCTCGAAGTGTCCTACAAAATTCCATCATAGGTAGAGTATGCAAGGACAATCCTTGTTCTCTACCCATTCATAAACTCATTACGAGGTCGCAAACTCTGGCACATAACAACTTGGTATCAGAGTCAGGCATGTCCGACCACCGTCTCGAGCAAGTGGAGAATGAGCTTGGCTTATTGAATGCAGGCCAAAAGGAACTACAATAAGCTATGAAGGCTAGTGAAGAACGTCTCTTGAAACATATGGAAAGCATGTTTGCTCATTTTTCTATGTGTAGTGGAGGACATGACGATGATGCCGAGTCCTCTCATGGGCCCCATCGTAGCCTTTTAGGAGGAGGCTCTCTTGCACCCAAAATCACTAAGTTGGACTTTCCATGCTATAATGGCATGGATGATCCAACTGGGTGGACTTGTCGAGTGGAACAATTTTTTGAGTTTCAAGGCATGGAAGAGGCGGAAAAACTCCCCATGGCCGGTTATCACTTGGAAAGGGATGTCCAATTGTGGTATCAAAGTTTCAAAAATCAGCGAGAAGGCATCAATTGGGAAGTTTTCAAGTACGAGTTGCATTTACGATATGGGCCTTCAACATACCAAAATTTTTTGGGGGATCTCATCAGGCTTAAGCAAACGGGAAGCATCCGCGATTACCAAAGGGACTTCGATCGTTTATTACATTGAGCTGGCCATTTGTCCGAAAATCAACAAGTTGGGTGTTTTGTGAGTGGGTTAAAGGAGGCAATACGAGTGGACGTGCAAGCATGTAATCCAATTTCATTGTCTGTCACTATGGGTCTTACACGATTCTATGAGTCTCGTATGTATGACCAACGAAAGGGAGGGTACGTGGAACCTCAAAAGGGTCCATCCACCATGGGACATCCACCCTTACCCTCAGCATCTCTTACCCGAGCTCGTACCCATACTATCAAGAGGTTGAGTCCGACTGAGTTGCAAGAAAGGAGGACGCCTGGATTATGCTTCAATTGTGACGAAAAATTTTCACCGAGCCATCGTTGCAAGAAGTTATTTTTAATAGAAGGAATTTTTCCTTCTATTGATGAGCCGTTGGATGAGACTACCATAGAGGAAGAAGTGGAAGAAGAGGTTTCCAAAATTAGTTTTCATGCTATTTCAGGAAATGCGGCACCTCAGACCATGCGTTTTTTTGGAAAAATTGGAGATTCCGTGGTTACAATATTGGTGGATTCCGGTAGCACTCATAACTTTTTGAATTCAAAGTTAGCTACCAAAATGGGAATTTATCTTACAAAGAAAGGAGAATTTTCGGTTCAAGTGGCGGATGGAAATAAAATGAAAAGTGAAGGATTGTGTGAAAGGCTTCATATTTTAGTGCAAAAGGTTCAATTCCACATGGATTTTTACCTTTTACGGTTGGAAGGATGTGATGCCATTTTTGGAACTCAATGGCTTAAAAACCTGGGTCCAATTATTTGGGAATTCAATGAGCTATGGATGAGATTTTGGTGGGAGGGGAAAACAATATAGTTATGTGGGACAAGAGGGCCTAGCAATAAAATCATGGGTGATCGTGATTTAAAGGAGCTGTTGCGGAAAGGAAAAAGAGCTTTTTTATTGCAAGTCAATTCCTTAAATTTGGGAGAGAAGCAAGGCATTGCAGCAACAAATTTAAATATGGATATAATGGCTATTTTGAATCAACATTCCGCCATTTTTCAAGAGATTCAAGGCTTGCCACCTCAAGAATCTCAAGACCGCAAAATTCCATTGGAAAAGGGAGCTAATCCAATCTCAGTCAAGCCTTATCGGTATCCTCATTACCAAAAAAATGAGATTGAAAACATGATCAAGGGGCTATTGTCATCCGGTGTGGTAAGGCCTAGCACGAGTCCATACTCCTCTCCCGTGCTATTGGTTAAAAAACAAGATGGCTCTTGGAGGCTTTGTGTGGATTATCAGGCACTCAACAACATTACCATTAAGGATAAATATCCCATACCCATTATCGATGAATTATTGGATGCATTGCATGGTGCACGATTTTTTACAAAGCTTGATTTGAGGTTGGGGTACCATCAAATCCGTATGTACCTGGAAGATGTTGAGAAAATAGCTTTTCGCATGCACCAAGGCCACTATGAATTTTTAGTGATGCCATTTGGTCTCACTAATGCACTGGCAACCTTCCAAAGCGTCATGAATGAGGTATTCAAGGAATTCCTTTGTAAATTTGTCTTGGTATTTTCTAATGATATTCTTATTTTTAGCAAATCTTGGGAGGATCATTTATTACATGTGAAGCGTGTGCTACATGTTTTGCAAGCTAACAAGTTGTTTGTCAAGCGTTAAAAATGTCAATTTGGACAAGAAGAAGTAGCTATTTGGGTCACGTGATTTCTCATCGCGGGGTAGCCATGGACCCCGAGAAAATTTCCTCCATGATAACATGGCCCAAACCAACTAGCTTGAAGGGGTTGCGAGGTTTTTTGGGCCTCACCGGTTACTACTGGAAATTCATTTACCATTATGGGATGATTGCTCAACCCTTGACAAATATGCTCAAAAAGGATTCCTTTAATTGGAGTTCCGCCGCCAAACAAGCATTTGAAGAATTAAAAATGGCAATGACATCCAGACCCGTACTTGCTCTGCCGGATTTTTCTCAACCATTTATTGTGGAGTGTGATGCCTACGGCGTGGATTTGGGTGCAGTGCTCATGCAAGGAGACCGAACCAATTGCTTTTTTTAGCCAAGCTCTACATGGGAAAAATCTTGCATTATCCACATATGAGAAGGAAATGTTAGCCTTGGTTAAGGCAGTCCAAAAATGGCATCCATATCTTTTAGGAGCCAAATTTATTATTCGAACAGACCAAAAAAGCTTGTAATTTCTGTTGAGTCAAACCATTACTACAGTTGCTCAACAAAAATGGTTGGTAAAGCTCTTGGGATTTGATTTTCAAATTCACTACAAAAAAGGCAAGGAAAATTCAGCTGCAAATGCCCTTTCTTGAAAATTTGAAATTCATGCAATATCTTCTCCTATTCCCAATTGGGTGGATCCTATAAAATCAGAAATTTCAGCTAATCCCCATTTGCAGGATTTGGTGGAGAAAATCAAGGAAGGAGAAGCATTGGGATCGTGGCTATTCAAGGGAGGATTGATTTTCTTTAAGGATCAAATTTATCTCTTGCCCACATTTGAATTGATTATTCCTATAATCAAGGAATTCCATTCCAACACGCATGAAGGGCTCCACAAATCTCTCCACATAATCAAATCAGTTTTTTTATAGGAAAGGCATGAAGAGGCATGTACGAATATTTATCCAAGAGTGTGATGCTTGTCAAAAAAATAAGGTGGACCAAGTCAAGCCAGCAAGTTTACTCAACCCTCTCCCAATTCCGCGTCATGTGTGGATAGATATTTCCATGGGTTTTGTGGATGGCTTGCCAACATCTAGGGGTAACTCTACCATTTTTGTGGTCGTTGACCAATTATCCAAATATGGCCATTTATTCCCATTAAACACCTTTACACAGCCGCTACAGTTGCCTAAACATTTTTTGACCACATATTCAAGCTTCATGGCATGCCCGAGTCTATTGTGTGTGATCGTGATCCGGTATTTACAAGTTCTTTTTGGAAGACTTTATTCTTATTAAATGGAGCTAAATTCAATTTTAGCTCGGCTTATCACCCACAAACTGACGGTCAAACCGAAGTGGTCAACAAGATATTAGAGATGTACTTGCGGTGTTTCATGAGATCTAAGCCCAAATAGTGGGTGATTTGGCTTCTGTGGGCGGAATATTGTTACAATACAAGCATCCACTCTTCCACCAAAAAGACGCCATTCAAAATTGTCTATCAGCGTGAACCTCCCACTTTACTTTGTTCATGGCACTTCGCGTGTAGAGTCTGTTGACAAATTTCTGCTTGAAAGGAATATGGTGATTAAGGATGTCAAGGCCAATTTGAAAATTGCACAGGAACGAATGAGGAAATATTACGATGAGAAGCGCACAGATAGGGGTTTTCAAGTGGGCGAATTTGTCTACCTAAAATTGTGTCCATATCGTCAGCTGTCATTGGCTCAACGGAAAGATCTCAAGCTTAGTCCCAAATTTTTTGGTCCATTTAAAATCTTATCCAAGATAGGCACCGTTGCATGTAAATTGGAGTTACCTCCCGAATCTAAATTACACCCAGTTTTCCATGTTTCTCTCTTTAAAAAGAGGATTGGAGATCAAGAGAAAATCTCTCCCACTCTACCCAATTACTAGCAGAATCGGCACTCCACCCACTTCCTCAAGCCATTCTGGAAACTCGCAAAAAAGAAGGAGAAATTGAAGCTCTTATTCATTGGCAAAATCTCTCTCTTGCTGAGACCACATGGGAGAATCTGGCAAAATTGAAAACACGCTTTTTCCTTGAGGACAAGGAAATTTTTAAGGAGGAAAGAGTTGTCAGGGACCAAGAATCATGGGATGAGAGTGATTGATGTTTACCATCAATAATTAAATTAATGTTATCTCCTTTCAAATGTTATTTCCTTTCAATCAGTTTGTGCTACAATTATGTGATTGTAATTTTCCTTTTTTGTAAGAAAGGGTTATTGCCTATTCCATCAAAAGCTGTTCGGCTATTTAATAGCTTGAGGCCAAGAATGAATATTATCTTATTAGTATTATCTTCAACCTTGTGTTGATTTGGAGTTGTGATTTTTCTCGAATTAAACCAAGTAAGGGCTAGGATCCCTCAAAGTGTCCTACAAAATTCCATCATAGGTAGAGTACACAAGGACGATCCTTGTTCTCTACCCATTCATAAACCCATTACAAGGTCACAAACTCAGGCACGTAACATTCGATGACTCGGAAGCTTCTCAGAGCTTATTGACAACAACTTTCATAAGGGTTAATGCAGTTGCAGCATAATGAAAATTTTCATAAGGGTCAATAATGCCGGTAAAACTCTACAACAATTTTCACATAGAAAAGTGCTAAAAACACTCTATTTCTCATACTCTCTCCCTTTATAGAACAATAGAGAAAGCTTTGCATCCTTCATCTATTCTACATGTGTTAATTGGAGTCTGAGAAGGTAAGAAAGACAGTAAAAACTAGATCTTTCCTTTTCGTAAGTATACCATTCTCTCAAGCTTAATGACAATTCACAGAAAACTCATTCCATTAATTTCATAATATTTGTTTTATAAGAAACATAAACTATATCAGATAAAAAAAATTACAAGAAACAGAAAGTATAGTAGATTAGACATTCAAAGTCTATAAATGCAGTATACCTAACACCTATAACCCCAAACCACTAATAAAATAAATTATCCCCAAACTTCAAGTCTCATTCACATACTATCTAAAGCTAACATTATTGAGTAAAATGAAGTAGTTTTCCCAATAACTTGCGTCTTCGGCCAATAATCCAAACTTCTTCATTGTTGATGTTGTTTTTCACACCAACAAGAGGCATGCAAGCCTTTGAGAAGTTTGTGCAAAGGATCTATGTGAAATCGTGAAATAGCAAATATGATACTGAACCGATTGGATTCAGATGGTGATATTAAATGAAAACGAGATAACAAATATTACAGAAAAATGAATAAATAGGCAAAAGACGATTTTTAAAGTGGTTCGGATCCACAGAGCAATTTCTATATCTACTATTATTTTATTG